TCATGCACAGACCTGTGCTACATTTCTTTACAGCCATACTATAATTTCTCCTATACAACCTCTCTCCTCTATATAATGGTTTTCTTGCATCTGTAAAAACACCAGTGTTATAAAACACACTGCATACTAATAGAAAGTATATGTAATACGTTGTTCACATTGTAGTAGGCACGCTGTAAAAAAAATACACTGACTTTAATCTGTATTTTAATAGTGTGTATTCAATGGAGATACTCGATGTATACAACTTTGAATGATATGGATATTTCTACTGTTTTATATTATTGTAATTTGTGTGCAATGACTTGTTTACATGCTGCTGTGACAAAATAATTTCCCAAATTGGGACCAATAAAAGTATATCAGAGAGAAAGAAAGAAAGAAACTGGTTTATTACCAAGTAGGTTAACACATAAGAGGCATTTTCCATGGCGTATATGGCGCATACATAAACACAGTTAAAGAACATCAATTGTAAGAAAAGAAACAAAAATGTAAACATTATTTAAAAAATATAGAGCAATATTTACATGAAATATAGATATACCAAAAATATAAACAACAACCACAAAATGTTTGTAAAAATAATAGAATCAAATCAAATATCAGCAGTATTGGTATGAAAAGTGGACAGCCGTGCAGATATTAAAAGAGGTTGCTTTGTGCAATTTGGGAGGGTTGTGCAGGACTGACTGTGATAGCTATTCTATAAAGAAGTAAAAGTAGAATATATTTATTGCTGCTCAAAGCAATGCAAAATATATGTATACCATTGCAGGATATAGAATCAGATAATGACTTCAAACCTAATAACAATAGTTCAAGAAGGGAAAGCAGAGAACACGTTGTTGAATGGTGCTGAAGGGCAGCGTGGGGCAGCTTCCCCTTCACACAGTCACACACACCACGCTACAAAGTGCTATCTGAGGATTAATGTGCCATAGGCGGGCACTGGGGGGTTAAACCCCTGGGCTGAGGCGCTGCGGCAGCACGGTGAGAGAGAAATGTGTGTAATAGTTGTGACCAACGCATGTTTAATGATCCACAAAAAAAACGATATTTTAAAATGTTAAATATGGGTACACATCTTAGTATTCACAAAAAACGTATTCAGCCAATCAAATAAATGTAAAAACTATTTACAAATAAACACATCCTAATAAATGTCAGTATACTGTATATTTCCAACTCAAGGCGCATTAGTAAAATAACATTTGCTTACGTAATACTACCTGTGCAATAAAATATCTCAACATATTATTGACATTTTGTGGTATTTATTTAGTGTGCATACCGTCAGTCAGTCACATACCACATCTGCAAAAGTAGAAAAAGTACTCAGATCTTAAGTAAAAGTAAAAGTACTTATACTTAATTGTAAAATATTGTTACAAGTAAAAGCCTGACATGCAAAATCAGACCTTAGTAAAAGTAAAAAATATACTCACATTTCGAAAGTAAAAGTAACATTTGTGTGGGCCCATTTAAAATCATATATATAAAATAATAGATTAGGATTTTTGATGCATTCATGTCATAGCAACACAGCTTGCACAAGTGGAGCTCGTTTAAGTTATTTTCAATACTACTGCTGGATATCTTAACCTATATTTAAATGTCAATGTTTATTTATTAGTTTATTCATATTTTGTATTAGCTCATAACCTAAATCTAGAAATAAACTAACTCAAGATGTTAGATAAATGCAGTGACGTAACGTACAGTGTTGGCATCTAAAAAGTATTCGATTAAAAGCGTGAAATCAAAATACTCATGTAAAGTATTAGTATCTCAAAAATGCAATTGAGTACAGTACTTGAGTGTTCATTACATTCATCCACTGCACATCCACATGTAGATTATATTAGTATGTGTTTAGTTTTGAGACTGATTTCACATCCTCTTATCCACATATGCATGTTGTATTTTGGAGCTAGTGGAAAATGAGGGTGTCCATCCATTAATTTGTATTATCTCTCAGAAACACGCAGCAGATCATCAGCATTTATCACATATACATCTGACATTATTCCCTTTTTTAGTACAGGATGTGCCACAACCAACACGAGTTTACTGTGGCTTTTATTACTATAGTCCAGTATGCAATGACTGTAGAGTAAGTTTGCTCATATACACACCACAAGTGTCACTGAGGTCACTCCTGGGTGCACACAACAGGGGATTATTGCTGCACTCTGGAGAGTTGGTATTTTTCTGTCATCTAAGTAGATAAACACAAAGTGTTCTGATTACACCTTGCAACTACTTTGGTGGGGAAGACCACAAGTTCCAGGTGAAGCATGTAGGACTTATTCAAGTAGACGTATCTGTATATTGCAGTTCAACAGTGATATGGCAGTGTATGATAGTCAGATGTTAAGAGGAGCACACAGATTCCCTCACAGTAAAACATTGGTCCTACCTTTCTCAGAGAATGCACCATCCTTCATGGCCTGTTCACAGTCAGAGAGTGGCAGCACAGCTGTGGATGACCCATTGACCTTGAGATGAAGAATTTGGCTATACATCACCATATGCCTGAAAAGGCAAAATAGGAAATATCACGGTTTATTTTATCATCAGGGACAGTGGAGCTATTTTGCTGACAGTAGTCATTACATTTCTCTAGTTGTGTCGTTGTATGAGGTCCTCAGCATTTAAAAAGTGGGTTGTTTACTCATATCATAAAAACAATGCTAACATGTGACTAATGTAGATGAACAAAGTATTAATTTATAATGAGTAAAACTATGTATTTAGAATTCATAAACAGGATTAAAACATTAATAAGCTGGTTTATAACTCACTATAATGCATGTATCTGCCTATAATTAATACATATTTAAACAATGCTTTTCATTCTAAAGGGGGATTAAAAGTAGCTTTACTTTAGTATAAAGTTCACACAGTTGACTTAAAAAAAAACACTTACCTCTTCTCACAAACGTCTTGAATAAACTCCCAATTAAAAGTTAGAAACGGACTTAACTTGAAACCATTTTTGTACAAAAACGTATAGGTTCAACTCCCCAAAGGTTCTGAACTGGAAAAAAGCTGTACAGCACAACAGAATTCAACACAAATTCAAAGATGTTCTTAAAGAATGCTGACGCAGTGGTTTGGACGACCCTTTAGCATTCGGGAAGAGAAAAAGTCACAATGCTTTCCATTCAGGGTTGAGAGGGAGAACACAATGGGGTTACACAAACCAAAATATAGCTGGGAGCTCAAACTCCACTGAGCATATGCCACGAGAAAACACATTATACACTTATTTACTGTCTTCAGTGTACACTAGAACAGCAAGCATGGCATTACAATTAGGTTTAAAGTAGAAACAAGATCACATTTGCATTAAAACAGATACTTAGTAAATACCTAAGGAAGTAATGACTCAAAACTAAGGAATGAAAAAAGTAACCGTATGGTTAGACAGAAAAAAAAGTAAACAGTGCCCCGAGCCACTCCAGTAGTCCCACATACACTTCCCCTTTGTCCTGCCCTGTGACTGCCCAGCCGACTACTTTCACACCACGGCTCTCCTCAGAGAGACAACCACATCAAAAGCATCGCAGTGACAAAAAGTCACAAGATGCACTTGAGGCAAGATTCAAAGATTCTCTCTCAAAAAAAGAAAGGCATTGAAAGTAGATTATCCCAGAAATTGTGTGAATAGAGCTATTCTCCATTCTTAACAGCAAGAGATCCACAACTAACATTGTGTTCCCAGCATGTAAAAATACTACAGTTGTACAGCGAGTAACCCAAGCATAAACTCTTACCTGGGTTTCGTCAGTTGAAGTTCGTTTGATGCTGGAGGAGGAGAACACAGGTGAGGAATTACAGTGATTTCCCTAAACAAACAGACACAGGAGAGCACCTGCAATTCAAATACACGCTGGCATGTAAAACTAAAATCAGGTCGACAAAAACTTCATTTGCATGCATTTGAATAGGGCAAAGGGACCTCAACATGTTCAAGTCACCTTCATTGGATCAAATAAACAATGATGGAAATATAGTGACTTAGTTCATTGAATGCGATCTGTTGATTTCACTTCGTGGCTACACATGATTCAGACTGTGATGCCTTCTGTGCTGTCCGCTTTCTGTTGTTCAACTCACTTTACAGTAAACAGGTTTCATTTTGAACCAAAGCTCTCTCATTGTAGAAGAAAACGCCTGCCCTAGTGTGGACAGAGGATGTAAGTGCAGCATCTGGAGAAAAAGAGAAGTAATTTATTAGCATCACAGTTTTGTTTTATTGTGCCGTTTTGAGATAATATATTCTTGATATAGCGTTATATCAACTATCCTATTATAATAATAATATATATATATATATAATAATATCAAAACTTTGTTTATATAGAAGAGTAAAATGCTACTTGGTGCACAAATATTACCATATTATCTAATAATGTCATATAATACATCATACATGGAAGCAATTCTTCTGCAGAATTACTATTTTAACTTTTTATACTGTAAGTATATTTTGCTGATAATATTTATGTAATTTTGCCTTTACTTAAGATTTTGAATGCAGGACTCGTACTTGTAATAGCGTATTTCATCATTACTTTATTGGTACTTTTCAAAGAAACTGAATAGGCCTACTTCTTCCACCACCACTGGTGATAACACCTATGACAGGTCACAGTGTATCATGGGGTGTAGCAACACCTGTCTTTCGGAAGGTCGACGGTTGCTAGCAAAATTGTCTGTTGTCAAGTTGTAGGAATTAATTTGCCCTACCTAAAGCCAAACTTATTAACATCGCGGAGGTGTCTGTCTACATGTCCTAACGAGGTCTTTACTTTTGAACAGTAGTCTCCTTTAGAACAACAACAAACTTCTCCCTACCAGGATGAAGTTTTAAACATATTTAAATGTTGTGTCCCTCAATCTGTATCCCATGGTCTGTAAGCATGAGCATCCCTACCGTCACTCCACCTTCCCCTCCTATTGGCCACTGTCAGTGCACCTGTTCTACCAGCCCGCCAATCACACGCTTGGTTGGGGTGTGCTCCAAGATGGCGACTTCCAGGGATCTGTATCAGACATTATCGCATATGAAAGCTAAATATCAGTGTCTACCCGTGGTTTAAACTTCCTAATAGGTCGAAAATAAGGAGCCGAGTGGGGCTGAGTTGTCGCCAGTGAAACGTGGAAACAGTTCCCCTATGGTTTGTTCGTGCGGCGAGCCGGCTTCGGTGTCGGTCTGAAGGAGGTTGTGTTATCCGAGTATGGCCACCGAGAACAGGATCAATTTTTGGAGGAGAAACGCAAAGGTTCCCGGCAGGTGAGTTTCTCTCACTCTCTTTTAATGTTACTTAACGAAACAGTGCTTATTTTACAGTGCTTCGGTGCGTTTCAGACGGACACTGTTAAATATGTAAATACAGTCAGTTAGAGAGTCAGAGTTACATATCATATAAACATGGTCTATCGTAGGCTTTAATAGACTCATAGTGAAGTATAGGAATACGATGTTAAGACAAAGCTCTTTAACTGACTTGAACGAAAACAAATTCAAACAACAAAAAGTAGCTCAAAGCTGACCATTAGTTGACCATTATGTAGTTGTGGGTTTTAATGTATTCACTTAACGACTTGTCAGACTCTTTCCACTGTCTGTTTGAGTGTGTATAATAGCCTCCAGCTGAGAGAGACAGACCTCCATCTCTTTCTTCTCTGCGGTGTGTAACGCTCAGAGTGGAGCTGTCAGGCCCGCCATATGCTTTCTCGGGCGGTGCTAAGAGGTGCTGACTCTCGTTATGGGCTGCTGTGGGCTAGCTGTTGAAATAGATGACAATGAAGGAAGCTCCACTATCTTGATAAAGATAACACTGCTGTAACATCAGTTAGTTCTCTCTATTTTGTAATCTCTTAATACGTTTTATTAGATGAGTCATAATGGAAGAAGTGGCGGCCGGCCCATAGGGGTGCTAGGGGCGCCGCCCCCCCCTCTTCCCACATGTTTGATTGTTACAAATAAATAAAAAAAAATATATATATATTTTTTTTTTTAATGAACAAGTTAAATATGATATAGTTGGTATCAGTAAAATGTATAATCTACAATAAAATCTCGTTTAAAATTGTGTTACGATGTCTAAAGTTACTGATAAGTCTCCTGCCTGGCCGCAGCGTGTATCATTGCCCTCTCTCGTCTGGGCGCTAAGAAAGGAGCCCTCAGCCAGTGCATTCTTCCGGGGGAGCATCCCCCCGGACCCCCCTAATATGGTTTGGTCACCATTTCCATAGCCCCACCAAAAATAATTTCCACCAGCCGCCACTGAGTAGAAGTTAAATGATTATTATAGTTTTTCATTGATGACCCAGCAGCTAACACTTTGGGTTACAGGGTTAACGCTTGTTACAATCTAATGAATTGGTGTTAGGGAAAAAATAGTATTATGTATTCGAAGAGGGAGAGATCATGACCATTGCTTTAATATAGGCCATAGCACCAGACTATTCCCAGCCTGTACAGCGTGCCCAATAGGATCATAGTCATTGATTGTAATAGGCACTGGGGACCTAAAGGTATTCTCTTTTCTTTTATTCTCCTCACCTCCTCATGGGAAAATAGTGCTGTATCGATTTATCAACAAATCAAATATATTAGTTATGTAAATTAGTCGATTAGCCAACTATTATGATTTATTATGATTTTGTAATATTTATAACATATAGTATTGAACTAAATATCTTTGGAATTTTTAAGACATTTAAAATTGTCTGTTTGAGAAACTGGGATGGTCATTTACTCATTTTCTATACTTTCCTTCATTTCATGGACAAAATGAAGAATCATTTAATAGTGGAAAGGATCTGCATTTGAATGGATAATGAAAATAGTTGCCCTAATGGAACATGAGAACTCATCAGACTTGATTGATAAGAAATGACCTGTGTTCATACTCAAGTGTTTTTCTGTGTACTTGCCTATTTGTCTTTATGACTCTGAGGGTTGTCCTGCCCTGGCAGACACGGTAGAGCAGGTTTGGGGGGGTTAGGGAAGTGTGTTTGGGAAATCTGAGAAGAGATGATCTCTAAGGAGAGGGCGTTGCTGTTTTGTCACACACACTGATCTTTCTCAAACTGTGGTGGGTGGAAGGCTGGAAACACAAACACATGTTTGAACAGGAAAGCCAGCAGCTAGTCTCCCTGCCTGTCCTTGAGCCGCTCCTGATAAAACCCAGCTGAGGCTGATAAAAAAGAGACTCTGGCACTGGCAGATAATGAGCAGGCCCAGTTCTTAGACGCCAGGCTTACTGTCGGTTTATTCATGCAAATTATAGGAATTAGCCTGACAACGCTTAGCCTCGAGCGTGGGAGCCACCGTTTGACAGAGTCCACATTACTAGTGCTTCTATTTGTTGCTTTGTTGTGTTTACACAAAAGCCTCTGAGATACTTTGAACGAAGCGCTTATCATTAGTGACATTTCTGACACACTGACGGAGAGCATTTTTGGATAAAACGTCATATTAGATTCAGTGTTAGACCACCGCTCTGGTGAAATAAAGGAAAAGCTATTAATCAATTCCCTTTCCAAAATCTGTGAACATAATATTTATTTAAGAGTAGGCCTGCACAATTAATCAAAACTTTATCCAAATCGTAATATTTCTAAGAGCAAAATTCGAAATCGCAGAAGCATAATATTTTTTAAAGGATAAATATGTGTTCAAATATAATTTTGAATGAAGTATTTTCTACAGACTAGGCTCAATATATTTGTTTGGTACAGATCCACTTAAAAAATCATACCCTGATCATTTAAATATATTTTTCAATTAAAAACTTAAATAATGTTACAAAAATTATAATGTGAATTATATCACAATTGCAATATCAGTCAAAAATAATCGCAATGAGTTTTTTATTATTTGTCCACATCCTGCTTTAAAGAGTCTTCAATTTAAGACCTCAAACTACTTTCAGTTTCACAGTATCTTTGACCAAAAGCTGCCCTCCAGTTACAAATAGTTGTAAGAGTTAATGTTCTAAAGGCAAATTATTTGTTTACAAGACTGAAGCAAAGATCTGATTCTGGCTCTTACAGATGCAGATATTCCCATGCTGTGTAACCCCCAAACAACTGAAGGTTTAGTGTTGGGCATGCATTACTTAATCCAGTAAAAAGTTTAGTTTGAAGCCTTAAAGTAAACCTATAATGCCAGGCAATAGCATTGGTCTCAGATATATAAAAATTAGAGATGTCCCGATCCGATCACGTGATCGGGGATCGGAGCCGATCACGTGATTTTCAAAAGATCGGAATCGGGAGAAAAAAATCGGGGATCGGGAATTATTTTAATTTTATTTTTTATAAAATATTTTTATTATTTTATTTAATGTTACAAAACAAGAATGACCATGCTCACGTCTTAAAGTCATCCTGAGGACTTAGTTTTGGTTTAAAATGACACAACATCATGTATGTGTTGCTTCTTTTGGGCTTGTTTTCAGACCTGCTTATTTCTCTCAAACCTGGCAACAGAGTGGGCGCAGTGTCTAATAGTAGCAGTAAGCTAACGAGACGCTACGTTCAGCTGGTGACTCGGGAGTCGGGACAGAGAAAATGTCAGCAGTTTGGAAGTATTATAAAATTGAAAGCGAAGGCAGTGTAACAGCCAGATGCAATGTTTGCAAGGCGGAGGTTCCGCGTGGTGGAAAGAACAGAGCTACGTTCAACACGACCAATCTAACACGCCACCTGAGAAACAAACACCAACAACAACAACAACACGACGAGTACACAGCGGCCACTCAGGTAACGGCACTGAAGCAACCGACACTTTCAGAGACTTTTAAAAGGAAAGAGAAACTGCCCCAGAACAGTGAAAAGGCCAAAAAAATAACTGCCAAGATAGCTGAATTCATCGCGTTGGATGACCAGCCGTTATCCGTTACCTTTTTTTTCTCTTAATGCATAAAGATGGGATCGGGAAAAATCTGTATCGGCAGATTGTCAAAATCAAATGATCGGAATCGGATCGGGAGCAAAAAAAGGTGATCGGGACATCCCTAATAAAAAGATATAAATATATATATAAAAAACATGTCTATGAAGTGTTTTGCTCAAAATACCAAACAGATCACCCATTCTAGCCATGCCTTATATCCCTCTATTTCACTTCCTGTTTCAAAAGTGCTGATTTGGGGTATAAAGCTTTTTTTTTTAAAATGATACAAAATAAAAAAGGAGGGGGCTGAGCTCATGCGGGACCCGGCAGCTACTGTCTAAACTAAATACTGCCGTGATGAAACGCCATATCATGGATCATCAAGGATTATTTCTGAAACACTTTGGAGCTCAAAGGCTTTCTCTCTTGCCGGGTATACCACAAGGTGAGTTCCTTTTTATTTCCTGCTTCTTCACACACATGCTCTCCAGTACAGGTTAGCTCTGAGTGTTAGCGATGCTAATGTAAACACCGACCATATCACGTCCAAAACAGTCGTGCATTGTTTCTGATAGCAACTTTCTGATAGGGCCGTGGGTCCACATTGCCGATATTACGTCATATCGGACGCAAATCTGGATCAGCTCCGTTGTTCCCCCGTTTTTAGAGATTTGGGTACGGAGGAAAAGAGAGAGGGTTTTATTTTCTGATGCTGCGTGAGTTCCCCAACGCGCCGGGGACACATATTTATGTATAAAATACATCACAAAGTGCATTTTGCATGATAGGTCCCCTTTAATGTTTGAATGGCTGGAGACGCTGCTGCCCTTGGCTTTCCTTAAAGGAAAAGAGATAAGAACAGCAGTGTTGTTGGCATCTGTACCTCTGGCCCAGATCCCATCTTACCACTCTGGACTGTGTCTGCCTGAGCTCACTAGAGAGTTGGAAAGAAGTTCAGCGGAGAAAGAAGATTCTCACATCCGCCGAGCATAATGCCCACCACAGGGTGGTGAGGGGCACAGGGGCTGCACAAGCCGTCCCCCACTTCTGTTCTCTACACACTTCAAACCCAGGCGGAATAACACGGAGTTAAGGTCCTTTATTAAAAGGGCTGTCAATGTTTTACCATGGTGTACTTTTCTGTAATTTAATTTGTACTTATTTAGTTTTTTAAATTATTAATAATGTGAGGATACTTTTTATATAATATGTAAGTCTACTCTTTTTACTTAATCTGCCCTATACTCTTGCTGTTTTTATACAGTGAATTTCCCCGTTGCGGGACAATTAAAGTAATTCTGGCTCTCAATATGCTATAGTGCAGGGGTTTTCAAAGTGTGGGAAGGTGAGCCTCCCCTCAGAGAACATAAGAACAGCCGAGCCTC